CTTTATGTGACTTATGTGCAAAAAAGATTTGCAATCGGATAAAAGACGTTTATGCACTAGCGTTCCAAAAGTGGAAGGTAGCGGTCAAGCGTGAGGGGGTCCAGCCACCTTAAGGTGTGGTCCCTTTTTTTGCACTGCGCATTAAAAGCATGGATCGGAACTTACACAGTTTAGCTATTTTTCCAGCTACAGCAAAAACCCGCTTATAAGAACCTAGGATTTTTCAAGTTAGCCTAAACAGGTTCTTATATAAATGGTATTTAGTGGTTAAATTAGGGTAACTAGTTTCTTAATTAGGTTCTTAACTTTTGTTCAAGAAGTAAAATAAAGTTTCATTTTAAGTTGGATTTTTTTATTCAATGAGGACATGTTCTTTACAGTAACCATGTACAGTTATAGTGTTTATAGCATTATTGTGTACAGACTGTTATAAATATATTTTTGAAAAGATTGATTCTAATTTTTTTTTCTTTCTTTCTTTCTTTTTCTTTTTCTTTTTAAAAAATAAGAACCTGTTTTAGGATTTTAGCCTAAAATGGTTCTTATGTGAAGGGTGCTTAAAAATGAAATTTTAGCCTAACAGGTTCTTAAATTTTAGGTTCTTATACGCGGGTTTTTGCTGTATCATATAATAAGTTAAAGTTCTATTAAGATTCTTTTCATTAAAGGTGCATCAATAGGTTGACGTACGATGATGAGAGATATGATTATGATTCTGGTCTGAAATCATACTCATGATCGATTAACAAATTACACTCGCGCTACGCGGTCGTGGAATTTTGTTATCACTCGTATGATTTCAGATCTTATAGTACACTCAACAAAATTACTTGACTCTGATTGGTCGAGAGGAGTACAATTATAGCGTTAATTGTACTCCGTAGGAGTACCGAATTAAGTCACTATGGCAACACGGCCAAAACAATGTCAAAACAATTATTTTCTATCATTTTGTACTTAAAAAACATAAATAAGATTTTAAAACCTTAAGAACTAATCTTTTTTATGCATTCGAGATCGTGCGATTTCCTATACAAATTGCACTGCACTCAGTTCTATTACTATCATGAATTTAATTATCATCACAAGCCTTACCTGTAATGGAGCATGAGGTATAACCAATAGAAGGTTGATCAAAATGAACACCAATCCACTGCAGGCGAAATAGAAGGCGCAGCCTCGAACTTCGCCCCCGCGAGCAGTAGCAGAAACATCGTCTATCGCCAACACTTCACATTTACAGTCTAGTGCAAGCTTTTCCTTTGACGTCAATACCGTTATGGCCTGGTGCTTGTAGGTACCAGACCTCTTGCACAACTCAGCTCCAGCAGCGATGAAGGCACTGACAAATGGGCCAATAGCAACGCTGCTCAACTGAATCCAGCCATAATAGTTTGCATATGATTTCACTAGAGGAAACCGTATAAAGATAAAATGAATTAAAAATTTCAAAGATTGAAGTATTTAAGTACTAGTAAAGGCTACCTCCGCTTAGCTCGGACCCAGACTTCCACCATCTCCGAGCACAGCAATAATACCACCGGTCACTGCTCAGATTGGAAGAACGTCGAGTGCATCGACAGTGCCAACCACTGGTACACACGCAGGGTCAAAGAATCCATCCATATAATGTAATTAGACTCCATCCCAACAACAATAATAGGGACACACAGCGGAATTGAGATTCCGGAAGCGTGGATATCGACTTAAAAGCTCTCCGTCATGCCCACCACCAACAGCCCAAAAAATATAATCACAGCCCCGGCGCGATCCTCAAGCGAGCCAGACTGACGGTGTATAAGTACACCACTTTCCAGTCTACACCATCGCCTGATGAAGATTATAGCAAAGGAAGGTCGAAAATAATTCTTTTTATTTTTGTTTTGACCATGTCCGTCAACATGGCGGCTATGACGCAACATTTGCATACATCCTACCATTTTCTTTCTTCGCTGCTAGCATCCTTTACTCTGCTCTCATCCCCACGAAAAACCAGTCGGTGCAATACTTACCAGATTTTTCATCCATTTTTGGAAGGGCCATAATAAACTGCTGGAATGAAGCTAAGAAAAACCAGAGACGGAGACGACACATCCCAACAAAAAGACAAGTTCCAATGAACACCCCAGTCTTCATGTGAGCCAGGAGGTCCTTCAAAGCTGTCAGGCGATCGGACCGCACAAGACGATTTGAACTCTCAGATTTCTCCTTTGTCTTGTCTTGTTTTTCTGTTGGTTTTGTGGTATCAGAATTATGCTCGTCGTTTTTGAGGTTGGGGAAAATTACGATGGAGTTGAAAAGGAGGATTAATATTGCGCATATCAAGCCGTAGCAGAGTATTTGATATGAGACGCCTTCTTCGTATAAAACCTGCAAAAAATTCAGGATCAACAATTAATTAAATCATAGCTAAACTTATGGACTTCTAGAACTGACTTCACTGAGGCGGTATTGTTAAGGGACGACCGCTCTCAGTAGAAGCTTCGGAATCTTTTTTGGCTTCAGCTCTACTCTATTCTGCTGAACTGATTACATGAGCTATATTTATAATGATTTTGCGACAGGTGTCAATCTCTAATCAATCTGATATAATCGTCAAATCATGATTGGGTGAAAGAATAAGTAAAGAAGCAAAGTAAGTGCGATATTCTAACGACGAGTAAAAATCTAAGAGTTAATTAAGCATAGCTGAAACTAAAGCTAATATATAAATATATCGTAAATGTGTAGAAAAGATTACAAGGAACATTTCTATTACAAGACCAGGCCCTAAAGAATAATCCTAAAATAACTGAGCAAAGGGGTTGAAACTGTATAGGGCGTAACCAAAGGTACAAATACTAATGCTAAGAGATTTACTTGCTGTGAATTCAATGCATACACCATTATCTAAACTTGTACGTAATGGTAGCCGTGCTGAAATAGTACTATTATATGTCTGTATTTTTATATAGCTAATGTACTGGAGATCAATAATTTTCATCTTGTTTTTATGGGATAAGTAGTTGTAATTTGTAAACTGATGTCTTGCTTAGTTCGTCTGTAAAAATATTCATTTTAATTCTCTCTCATTATTATTTTTATTATTATTATCACCATCACCATCATCATCATCATCATCATCATTATTATTATTATTATTATTATTTTGATCCATTGAACTCCGCTCTGGGTGTACATATCTGAAGCGCATGTGCGGCCTTAATTACGGCACGTACACGGTCAATCTCGTACTCAGAGCCTGCGTGTCTCCGAGTCGGCGAAGAACGAAGGCTCTGGCATAATCCATTTTTGGCGCATGCGCAATTTTCCAGAAGTGAAATATAATCAATGAAAATCATGCTTTAAAACAGAGTTCTGTGTTTACTTCCAATTAAAATAACAATTCAAAATATCGGGAACATTTTGAAAATTTTCGGCAAGTCTTTGAACGCATGCGCTCTTATACCGGAAGTCCAAGAAATCCTGGTCTCAAAAAATGGATTATGCCAGAGACCTCGTTCTTCGCCACAGGCCAGAAGAAACGCAGGCTCTTGGTACGAGATTGGTACACGGTACGACAAGCCGTAACACTTAGATGGCTTCCCAGTGCTAATGCATTAATTATCCACATATGGTACGCATCATCTACGCGGGATCACTAAATTGTCATACTGTTTTCGACCGTATGGGTTCGGATTTTTATTCACCTTTGCACTTATAGAAATTCCAAACGGATGCAACGAAATGGCTGAGACTGTAAGAAAAGTCTAGCTAGGGAGTCGGGGTTCTAATGTGAAATCTGAAGTCTCTTGAATATAAGATTTCTACCATTTATTTCTCGTTTTACCTTGAATATCAGGAAAAGAACAGCCGAGGAGCCAAAAGAACAACAGAAGACACTGTTCACGAAGGACTGCCACTTGCCGTATAGAACTATAGACTAATAACAACATTACAACTAGTTTAGAAACATATTTTTGTCCTTTTTTTATAACCCTCTCATAATAAATGCTTTAGGAAACGAAACTTATATTAAGACCGAGAGGCACTAGGACGAGTGGTAGTCTAGAACCCAGGTAAAGGTAACACTGTTGGTAAAGGTAGGCCGGTGACATCATGATGACTTTTTGAAGAAAAAAAGCTCACTTCAGACAAAATATTTTCTTCAAAGGTCGTAGAAATCACCAGGAACTTTATGTTTTCCTAAGCGCTCGCAGAATAGCAGTGTGCGAAGACCTGCGTAAATTTATTGGGGCACGTTGTTGATTTAGGTCTAGAAAACTAGAGTTATAGCCTGACGGAAGGTGAACAAGTGAAGATTCTTTGTTTGCGATGTATATTAGCTTCATGTGCCTACTTGTGCCCACTCAAGGGAATGCCGGACAAATGGTATGAAATAGGAAAACAATAAGTGCAAGGTATATAAAGAAGCCTATTACCCTTAGTGCTGAAAGATATAACCCAACTTGACCAATAACGAACACGAGAAGGGCTGGAATGAGCATAGCAGGCCTCTCTGGGGAAAAAAAACAAAAACGCAAGACGATCATTTTTTTACCCTAAATTGTAATTGGTGGAGTGAGCTGCATACGAATCATGCGCAAATATTGCGCCTTACTCACGTGGCAGCCACGTTTTTCTCTTGGCAATAAAAACCTTTGTATAAACATTATAAATTAATTATTCTCAAGCCCTTGAATGCGAAGCTACGCGTGGTGGTATCTATTGCTCTTGTTCTTGCGCAATACAAATAACGAGAAAAGGGCACAGCAGGCCCGCATCTTCTAAGGAGGCCAGAAGATCAAGGGAAATTGTTTTAGCTCACCCCAAAAATGGTATGAAATTCTGTTACCACTAGTGCAGTGGAAAACTCCTAGCCTATCCGCGCCGTAAAACAAGAGCCTGCGTGCAAACACAATTAAGCTATATATATATATTGACTAACCGGAAGAAGTAATAGTTAACAGTCCTGCGGAAATTCCATACACGACACTGAAAGATAAAACCGTTTACCCAATATATCAATCAATACGAATTTTAAAAAGCCAAATTTAACCGAGTTCGAATCTAAATACATCGAGAGCGGGCGGGCGAGCTACAAAAAGGCTAGGTCAGCGTATTAAAATAATCAAATTTATCACATTACCTGGAAAATATCTTCATGGGCTTCACTCCAAACCTATCAATAGCCCAGCCACAGATTAAAATGTATACCGCACCTACTATTATAGTGAGACTGAGAGCAAGGTTGAGACGATCTTCTTGTTCAACGCACAGGCCGTCACGCTGTTTGGAGCGTGGCCGACCCGCAGTTGTTATGATGGAGATGTTAGTGTTAAGATCATCACCAGAACACAGATGTGAATAGACTCCTTCTCCTTTAAGGACAAACACAAGTGAAGACCATCCGAGCAAAGGAGACGAAAATATGGTCATTTCTATCACCGTTACGAAAAATAATATCCCTAGTCGAAAATTGCTTATTTTGTTTGACAAGACCATAGCCACCAGAAAGTCTAACTAATATATTATTATAATTTGTACAAACTGCTTGCTCTTCAAAGAGATAGCCTAACTTATATTCTTTCTGCCGAATCGCTTTTTCCATATCCAGCATCACATATACGTTTTCGATTCAGTAACGAGCGGCCGATCAAATGGTAAGAAAAAGTTTCTTTCTGGTAATATGTAAGGTTAATGATTGTCCACGCATGCTCCAAAGTAAATTTCTTGTTTTTCTCCGGTTCAACAGGAGAAGCTGGTTTTGGTTTCGGCGTGTCACTTCTAAACTCGTGAGAGCTTTGTTTGTGCGTGCGTATCTCTTTATGACAAAGCCAAAAAAACACTTTTAAACGAATAAGACTAGAGTACATAAAGAATGTAATTATGAAAAAAATTACTGGGAAAGCTGGTTAATGAATTTAGATGATTTTTGGTCAGTTGAAGGGAAAAACCTCTTTCCATCACYAATTACTTAAGTCGGCGCATGACGATCAGCTGACATAAAGAAACCTGGATTGAGCTTTGGACGTCAATATTAGCTGTCATTTTGCCACACACAGCGGGACTTCGGTGGGGGGAGGGGAGAGGGGAGTGGGACGCGTCTTGATATCCCGTGATATCTAACATACATTATTTACCCGCAATTAACTTGGGATTGTAAAAATTGAGGTTTTAATTGTTTTCGTATTCTTTTAAGGCAACATCAAGGTTCATAAAAGGAAAACCTTTGAGTGAGCTATGCAAATTTACGAGTCTATCTGTCACCCTACGGTGGCCCACAAGTCTCACGGCAAAACAAAAACTCACGGCAAAACAAACTAAACTCACGGCAAAACAAACTAAACTCACGGCAAAACAAACTAAACTCACGGCAAAACAAACTAAACTCACGACAAAACAAACTAAACTCACGGCAAAAGGCAATAAATTCACGGCAAAATAAACTTAATTCACGGCAGAATAAAGAAAGCCACAGCAGAATCAGAGGAGGGTGATCAAGTCGCGTGAAGCATTGTGCCTTAAAGGTTTCATTTTGCTTCATTTGCATTTGACCGTCGTGTGAACATCTCCTTGCGAGAAAGTATTATGAATGTCAAATCTGTCTCTCCGGTTTTGTATGAATTTTCTTGCAGTTGGGGATTTCCTATATCTACACTGTGTATACTTTCAATTAACTAGTTGGGGGCCACCATACTTCACTGGCAACCCTCGCGAACGAAGGATTGTTTTGTTTCCTGACTGCCAAAACGTCCGAGAACTAAATGAGGAACTAAATGAGGAAAGGTGGCCTTTGACCATAAGAGCTGTTACTTGCGCGCCTCAAAATGGTGCTAAGTGGTGGATATTTCATTTGATAACTTTATTCAAACGCGATTGATTGAGCTAGAACATCGAGCATCCAAACAACCGATCGGCTTGAAATCACATACCCGGCGATGACAAACCTTGAACCGATTTTTCTCTTCAAAAATATCTCCTAAAACCATTCATTTCATTACATACATTCATTTTTAAGAGGCTATGTCTGTAAGAATCAAACAACCAGCGGCCAAGTTGAAAAAATCGATTTTTTTCATATTTGGTCCAAAGATGTGGAATACCATTCCAATAAACGTACTGATGTTCATTTTGAATAATTTCAATTTTATTTTGAGAARATCGTGAAAATCGATTTTGGCCGTCGGTGCCCTCATTTCAGCCTAAATCCGAGGTGAAAATGGTAGGTCTGAGAAAGGCGCTCGCGTATAAAAATGAAGCAAACTAGAGAAGATCTGTTTTTGAAATAAAGTAAAGGAAAGATTAATGATTATTTTAAGCTAAAAAATGAATGGGGAAACGCGTTCTAATAAGCGAACACGAACGTTTTGTAAACTACATTTTTCGGGTTCTCAAATATTCAAATTTCACCCTTTGTTTGCAAAGCGCATTTTCATGTGCACCGGGTGTTCGGATTTATCTGAAATTCCAGCCGTGAAATTTTGCCGTGAGTTTAGTTTGTTTTGCCGTGAGTTTTTGTTTCATCCCGGGGAGAGGGGGGTACTCTTGCCCGTTTAGGGTAGGGATGTGCCGTTGAGCCCTCTGAACCCTGACCCTGTTCCAGAGTAAAAATCGCTGAAATTCATACCCTGTTCCAGAGCAAGATCGCTGAAAACCCTGTTCCAGAGAGGAGAGAGCGTGATTTCATATACCCTGTTCCAGAGCGAGCGCGAATTTATATACCCTGTTCCAGAGTAGAATCGCTCAAAACCATACCCTGTTTGGCGGCACGTACCCGTGAGCGAATATAGGAGAGTACCCCCCCATCCCCCGGGATTTCATCCTGTTCTAATTGCCCTAATTCACTATGACGTCACTGCTTGCTTATGTGGGGGATAGAATCGCCAAATCCAATAGAAAATGCATCAAAATTTGCTCCTAGCGAAACAGTTTAATCTAAAATGGCCTGGTTTTCAGATATAATATGTGTTAATATGTACTAAAAAATATTCTGAGCCTTTGCTGGCTATTCTACTTCTCTTCCTGGATTGATACAGGTTTTAGAACGATTTTCGGTGGATTTTCGTTGGTATTTGACCCCCTCCGACGACCATGATCCTTTGCGTTAAAACAATAGATYGTTGAAGATTGTCTTTTTGTGACGTCATAGTGAATTAGGCAACCGCTTCAGGCAAGGGCGCTAGGACAGACGGAATGGGTTATATATCGGTGTGTTTGTTTCACTTATTCGTAGATACTAAAATTAGTTCACTGATCAGTTGTTTGTTTCTAAATGGATAATAAATAGGGCTCACTTATCTTAGAAGTAAACATCCTTTCCAGCCAACGGTATTTCTGGTTTGAATCAGCTGTACACTCTGAGTAYTTACCGCTACTTAAAGAAAATTGAGCCCTAATTAGTATATCTATTTAGATAGGGTAGGGGTGTTTCTCTGGGATTCTGAAAGGGGTACCCTGTTTATGAAAAAAAAAAATTGTAGACACTGTTTATGACAAAAGATATAATT